AATACCGAACTGGCGAATGGTCTCACGGCGATGCCAGGGTCAAAAAGTTTTTCGGTCCAGCTCGGCGCTCTATGGGTGGACCGGATCTCTGGTTCGGCTCTCGGAATTGCGTGGTCCGGTTCAGTCTCATGGGCGGACTCGGATGTCAACAGTTGTGTTTTCTTGTGTTACGTTTGATACATTTAATACAAATTTTATACATGAATAAAGTAAAAGAGCAATGATTGTCGTTTATCAACTACGCATGTGGGAGCCTCGTATGTGTTCGTATGCAATTGCACATTTTGATGATGAGACCGATTGAGTGGTTAGAGAGATCTAACATTTGACTTAAATTGGAGGATTGACACTCAAGTTGGGGAGAGATTGTCATAAAATTTGTGGGTTTTCGACTTTGGTGCTTGACTCTGGCTTAAATTGGCATGAGCCCGATACAAACATGGGCCACACGGTTTGAGATGCAGAATGGACCAACCAGTAGTATTTACGCACATCTATAGTTTTAAATTAATCACTTATGAATTTTTGGGACCAAAATGATAAATTTTATCTTTCAAATCTAAAAATGATGATAGTTGACTCAGGTTCAGAACCTTCGTCGGTTAACAATAAGAGATTTAAATTAATAATTTTAAACATTTTTAAAATCAATTTTCCATAATTTATTATTCAGCTTTGGATTATCAATTGAATCCATATTTCACAACCAAAATTGATAAAAAGAAATTATCGTTCACAACCTAGATAAGAATCTATATATATATTAAAGGAAAGCAGCTCACAAAATCCCTCTCAAAATTTGCATTAATTTGCATTAAAAGTTTGCACTAAATGATTAATAACTATTCTTCTCTTTAAATTTTGCATTAAATTTTCACTTTGTATTAAATTGGAGATTTGTGAATACAGACAATAGTCTTTGTTCCACGCCCAACTCTTAATTGTTCTCTATCTATTTTTTTTTAATGCCATAATGTCACTTTGACTTGACAAATATGAAATTGTTTTTTTAAAACAAATTTCAAACTTAAAAAACAAATTTAATGTATTTATATTTTATCAAATTAAGCATATTTTCCTAATGAGATAAAAATTTGTTTCATAGGTCTAACACTCACATATTTTTTCTAATATTTATAAATACTTTTATAATAAATTACCTTACCTTGGAAAATAATGTAGTTTAAAAGTATAATATGAGCACACATATTTGATAAAACAAAATTGGTGGAAGATTTGCTTAAGAGTTACACTGACTCCCAAGAATCTTTGTGATATATACATACATATTATATATGAATTGCATTAATGTTATGATAAATTTATTTAACTTTTTTTTTAGTTGTACTTCTTGAGACTAGAAATTGACTATTGGATTTTCTTATGATGTGAAATTGTCATACTACTTATATTTAAGTTTTAATGAATTTTTCTAATGGTTAAGCAATCATATTTTTCAATATATATACATAACTTCACATTAATATCATACTTTAAATCACAATATAAACAAAAGTATGACATTTTATATTATAAGTATGCAATTTTCATGAAAAAATATGGTTGCCTAACAGACAACAACATTTTTGTACTATATATATAATACCTTCCATATTCACCTTGACATGGTTTAATATATTCATTTGTTGATGTGACGATAGATTAACATATTTTACATATTAGATATATAACAAAAAAATCATGAGATTTTAAAACTTAGTTGACATGCGTTAATTTGCTCAAGATGATTGTGTGAACACACACACACACATATATATATAAATGAAGAAGCTTGGAGGAAACAAAAAAGCTCCTTCAAAACTACATTAAATTAACTAAAAATAAATTTTGTGTTCTTCTAAGTAGGATTTATTACAAACATAATAATTATAATTGTTTATTATTTATTACAAATAAATATATATTATTATGCATTAGGAACGTGAACTCTAATTCCAATAGTCAAATAATATTTAAAACTAATTGTTAATTATAATGTAAAAAACTCAAACAACAAAATATAATTATAAGGACTTATTTTACAAATAATAATTTAGTGTGAATTGCATTCTTATTTTTTATTAATTTTTTGTTTTTTTTCTTTGAGAATAACATAATTATTTGGATACGAAAAAATTTATATTATTTCTTACACTGCCTCAAAGTATGCATTACATATATCATAATATTAACACACACGCACGCCCGTGCGCACACACGCATATACATATATATATATATATATATATATATATATATATATGTGTGTGTATATGTGTGTGTGCGCGTTTGTTCATTTATTTTAGATTTTTTTTGGGAGAAAATTTCAAAGAAAAGTAGAAAATTTATCTTCAATATGATATCCACATAAATATAAAATAAATAATATTTTACATAGTTTTACATTTGACATGTATATTTTATCTATCGTCAAAGTTTTGAATTTGATGTGTCAATTTATGATTCAAAGTCTTTTCATTTATACACTTGTTTAATAATTATTTCTGAATATTTATATAGTAACTTCACGTCACATTTATATACTTTATTACGATTAAATTTTCTTACAGATTGAGAAAATGTGCAATCTCTTCTACTTTAAAAGTTTATCTACTCATTTTTGAAATATATATTTTAGGACCCAAAGTTAATCAAAATATCTACACACAAAATAAACAAATTATGAATTTTATGTTAGTTTAGCTTTTTAATCACCTCAAATTTAGCATTACCATATAAGATCAATTGTAAATAATATTACTTTCACCATTTAAATACATTTATCAGTATAGATAAGTTTATATATATAATAATTTGAATATATTATTATATTTTTATAATCAATTAGGGAGTGCAAAAAAAAATAGATAATCCATATTTTAAGGTTATTATCTATTTAATATAAAAGGAGTGCCATTGGTTTACCACTTGATAAACATAGTTATGCTTATTATTGGTGATACTTCTCAAATATCTCAACTTGGTACAAGATTTCATTAATTTGATTAATAACTCTAGCATTTTTATTGTTTTATACCTATAGGGAATACTAACTAGAAAATGCAAAAAGGAAATTTTGAACATTGAAGTTATATTAAAATATCTAATATTAAAAATATATTAAAAAACAAACTAAGATTTTAGCTGTTTACAGGAATTGAAATTGTACGAAACTTAATCACTCACAAACTATAATGTGAGGTAAATAGAGGGTTGAACAAGTCAACATGTAATTTTTTTTAACAAAATTATAAATTTACGTAGCCAAATTATATATATATATATATATATATATATATATATTATTTTATTTTCTAACATTTTATTTTTTAATACGAATAGAGGGAGATAAAAATATAATAAAGTATATTTTCATAAGTAATATAATTTATTCAACTAAAAGGGATGTATTCTTTTTAAACAAATCATCTATGGGTTTTGGGGACAAATCTGCATATATATCTCGAAAATAATGAATATTTTTTACTTAAATAGAAGAATAAACTGAATTTAGGTTTTTTTACCTATATCAACCATGATATGAAAAAAAAAAGGAAATAAAAAAATAAAACAACTTTGAATTTGAACATGATATAAAAATTTAACTGCATTTATGGGCAAACAACATATTAATATTTTAGAACAATTTTTTATTATTTTATAATTTTTATAATAATATAAATGACATTTCTTATTACAATTTTCATGAATAATTATGCATAAAAAATAAGTAATTTTTACTTACGTCACATTAATGATTGTTAGACCTATTTGTAACTTTACAAAAAAATTATCCGCGTTGCACGTTATTATGATCATCATCGCACTTAAATTAAATGCATGTGTTTCTGATTTTGTTTCTTAAGTACTTGATTTATGTTTTTCCAATTTTAGTTGGCTCATATTTGTACATGTTAATTTCAATTATTCATATATCGCTTTATTTGTATAACAACAACAATGTTTTTATTTTTTAAAAATGTTGAAAATTGTGTTACCATTAAAACATATTTAGATAAAAAAATTAAGGAGTGTCACTAATGTGACAAATACTTTTTTCTATTGAATATATTAAATATTTTTGTTTAAGTTTAATGTATTTTAATTTTAAATTTTCTATGAAAGGAACTTATGGTGTTTTTAGACACAATCAATTATATGTTGTTGTTTTTAGTCAAGAATTTGTTTATTTTATGATTATAGTAGTGATTATGAACACAATTTATTCACTGCTAATGTTATATGTAGGAAAGCATTTTAAAATGTTATAACTAAAGAATTCACTTTACATTTTATTATTTCTATACATATTTTATGACTAATTTTTTGGTTTATTTAAATTTTAAATCACTCAATTCATTTTTAACATCAAGTCGCGCAACGCGCGGGTGATGTACTAGTGTGCATTTGTTACCGTGGTAGTGTACGGTAAATCCCCGCTACAGTCCATCACTAGTTATTCCGTAACCATCATCTTCTTGCCCAAATTTCAATTGTATAAAAATCTGATCCCCGTTAAAAAAAATATCATCATTACAGTTCCCGAGACGTCTTCAATCATATTTGTCGCTGCAATTTCTGTACGTATCTGTTCATTTTCAATCAATCGTTTCGTTTATCGATCCGGCTTGTTTCAATCATTTGACTTATGCTTCGCGTGTGCGAATTTCTTGTTCTGTTTGTTTCTATCGGATTTCCTTATGCTTTGTTTGGATCTGCGCGTGTTTGTTTTATCTGATTATGTGGGGTTTGTGTTGGAAGCTGATTTATTGTGATTGTTTTCGCCATATTTGTTCCATATCTATGTTATGATGTGTTTGGGTGATTTGGGGTTTGTGTACCTCTAGCTGGGCTCTTGTGATTTCTAGGATAATGGAGTTGTTGTAGCTTTTATTTGATAGAGATTCAAACTTTCAGTGGAAGATCAGTCGAACCTCTTGTTTATTCGGACAATCACCGGATTGGTTAGTAACGCTCATCTGTATCTGCCTAATTTGTTGGTAAGTAACGCTCATCTGTATCACCGGATTGGTTAGTAACGCTCATCTGTATCGGCCTAATTTGTTGGCGCTAATATAGTAACCGAAGGTAACCGAATGCATCTTATGTCTGCATCTCTGTGTACCTCACTGAGTTTAACTGATGATCACAAACCTAATTAATGGATTTATTTATTTGTTCTTGTGTTTCTCATTTACACCTAGAAATCTGAATATGACCATGCGGTGTGGAGCATGAGAAATATACTCATTTGAATTACATATTATGCAGTTTGTATTAGGTTTGAGAAGTATGCTTCCTTACTTTTAGAAGTGTAAAGTCCAGCCTTTTCAAAACAGTGCAGATAGCTGTTTATAAAGAGCTCTGACTTCTTATTTCCCAAAAGTATTAATTTTTTCAAAAGTATGACCATCTCATGTAGGACTCACGAGAGACGATCTTACAGTAGACCTACTTGTTCTCCATTAGCAGTTTGGTTTGTCTAGTGTTTCGTGCAGTTTGTGTACTGAAATTCAAAAGACTATTAATAATTAGGAATTCTTGTGTTTAGACTCCCGTGGATGGCGGATGAAGAAGGCAAAGAAAATGCTCCCAAAGAGTGGGAGGTCGTGTCACTCACTGCATCAGCATATGCTGCTGCCCCTGGACCCGAAGAGCCCGACCCGACCCAAGAAAGCCCGGATAATTTAGGCTCAAAGCCCGAGGCTGAATCTTCGAGCCCCTTGTTCATGTCCAGACACTTTGTCTTTCCTCCTAGCCAGCACGAAAATTTGCCCCTCGAACCCGAATTAATTGTTCCTCAGTTGGATAGAGAAGGAGATGTTGAATCGGAAGTGATGGACGATGAAGATCCCCATTTTTATGATAAAGATGTGACCTTTGAGAATGCACAGAGCATTTACAGCTATGAGGAGGGGCTTAGTAACGTGGAGAGTGAGGGGACTGGTGATTTGGACAATTCTCCCGATAGTGCCTTGGGTTCGGGCCCGCAAGATATAATACAGAAGCCCGTGGAGGAAGATGAACATGATGATGAGGGCATTCCTTCCATAGCTTGGTGGAAAAGAAGGGCTGTTTCTATGTATGCCCATGTGAAAGAAGCGAATACGTTTTGGTCGGTTTTTATTGCGGCAGCTATCATGGGGCTCGTCGTTATCGGTCACAGGTGGCAGCAGGAGAGTTGGAAGGTTTTGCACTTCAAGCGGCAGTTTGGTATTAATGATGAGGTAATTAACTTTGTAGTTTGGCTATATCATGCTCGTGATTTGGTTAATTGTCGTCCGTGTTGATTAATTTGCTGCTTTCCTTTTGTGTTATCGTTAAATTGTCAAGAGAGAGCATGGTGATTTTCCGATTTCGTCTCTTCAGTTTATTATAAGCTGTTTACCTTTGTGATGTTTCATGTTCACATCTGCAGACAATGAACATGATAAGAAATAAATAAACAGAAGAGGGCTATATATTCTATACGAGAAGACCTAGATTCTTCTTAGAAGTGTATACTTGCATCTAAATGCTGCTTAAAATTAAAATCGAGCAATACATATCAATCCTGTTTGTCTTTGAAACGTGCAATGTAAAACTATCTGACGGGTTTAAAAATGTCTCAACTTCTTCTGCAATTGGTTTTCCCATTTTAATTCTGATGAATCCTATTTGCCAGTGGTACCTTCAATAATCAGAGTTGTGATTTTACAGGACTAGGAACTGTTTTGTAGCTTTGAAACTGCTAGAATATGACAGTTTTGTTTTTCTCTCACGTGCAGAGGTTGGGCAGGATGCTGGGCCCCATAACTCGATTCAAAGATGTGATTGTGGGTGGCCACAGACGAGGCTCGCTCGTCCGAGGAAGCACGTCGACCGAACACTAGAGATGATGACGACAAGTTAATTGTATTTCGAGCGAAACTATATGTATGTACTTTCACTTGGATTGAATATCCTCACAGTGTGCTTCTACACAGCAATATACATTATATTGTGTAATGATTTGGCGTCGTGAGGTGCAGAACTTGGAATATTGTTTGCGCGGATATTTGGAACGTTTTCATATGCATGTGACAACATCTTTACATACGAAATACGAAATTCTGCGCGAATCGTGTTTTTTTTTTTTTCTTTTCCTCCAAGCTACTGTTTATTGTATGTATTGCTCGACAAATGTGTGTTGCTGTGAAAATCAGGATGAATGTTTTGCCAAAGGCTGATGTGGGTAGAAGCAGCTTAGGATCGGCATCTTCTTACACTTAAAAGTTGATGTGTAATGTGGAATTTGCGCTAAATTAGCGGGTTGAGATTCATTTAGAAGTTTGGCCAATCAAATTCGCTAATTTGTTTGTTTGATAGCGAGCTTATTTGATTAGTTTTTTGTACTCGAAATGTTAATACTGGAAAGGCTAAAAAGAGTAGTCTTTTGGGAAGAGATAGATTCATATTTGTACTCAAAATGTTAATACTGGAAAGGCTAAAAAGAGTAGCCTTTTGGGAAGAGATGATTCATAAAAGGGCAATACGAATCAGCTATAAATTTTAGTATTTATGAAATACTTATTTGACAAACTTATTGGAGGGGTATAGGTTATATGAATTTATGGTGTTATTGTAGGTCAGGTTAAATAAAATTCATAATGCGATTTTCAGATTAAGCAAAACTTCTATATTCTTTTCTTTTTTTCCAAAAAAATAAGGTTTTTTATTTTATTTTTTATTTTTTTATTTATTTATTTTTTTTAAAGCATATATGCATTACACGGTAGTGTAAAATAGTATATTTTGTTGCAATGTACATGCTTTGTTTGCACATATAACAAATATATAATGATTGAATCCAACTTTTCACCTTTTACTGTGTAAATTGGTATAGCTATTGATTATTCAATGGCATAATGGTAGACCCTTGAAAAAAATCATGTCAATGTAATAATTTCAGGTGGAGTTGGATAAAATCCCAGCACTGATTGGGAAAATGATGTTCAATGCTCAGTTGTGGATTTAGAGTGTTAATCAAGAAAAATATCGTATGGGGGACCTCTTTAACATAATTCGGCCTAGCTGTAGCAACCACTTGTAATCTTTCTCAAGTAATTTCCTAATGTTTTGGATTGCAAAGTATCATGGTAGGCCTCCAAGCCCACATAAGGGTCCATCACCACCAAGTCCATTTACTTTGTATACAAAAAAGTTGAGGACACTTGAAGGATTGGACTTCTTTGATGAATATGGTCTAATTTAAGCATACTAGGACGTTCCCGTAATAGACAAGCTTAATTTGATTATCTCAAGCATTAATAAATTTGAATATAATTGATGCTCCACCAAATAAAACCCAGTTCAGGTTGGCTGAGCTCCTCAAAAACTTCCGGTTAAGTTTGATGACCCAGTCAACGTAGACGAAGTGGTTCACAGTAGAACTGTTGACCTGCAAAATGGGTTGGGAGGTTCTCCCGACGTTAGTACTCTGACGATCAAGTCAATGAGGGTTCTAGAAAAAAAAGTGAAAATCATATGTAATTGAAGATAATAATAATCAAGAAGTGGAAGAAGAAGACGAGAGCACACTCTTACCCTCTATTTATAGTGATGACCTTACCCTAATTGTTGTCTTGGTGCTTAAAAAAAGGTTGTCCGGAAGTACAATAGACTGCCCAAAATGGACTGGTTGTCCGGATGAGCTTTCCAAGGTTCGTTCTTATCCTAATGACTAAGATTATGTTGATGCATTCACACTTGATCATTGTCCTTTAGGTCCTTTGGGTTTGGGTTAAGGTACCCTCAGAGACTTCAGAGTCATTAGGTCCCCCTTTTTAAGTTGTTTTGGTCGTTATCGCCATTGAGTCATTTTTGGTCGTTTTAGGAACCTTCAACACTTTTTGGGTTGAGTTTAGGTCGTTCGGGTTTAATTCTAGCAACTAGGTCATACGGGTCGAGCATGACATTGGTCCTTTATGTCAAGCATGAGCTTTGGGTAGTGTACTATAGCCTTAGGTTGCATGAGCTTCAGGTCGCATTAGCGGTTGGGTCGCGTACTATACATAGCCTTAGGTCGTTTAGTGCTTTGGGTCGCATGAGCAGCCGGGTCGCGTACTATAACCTTAGGTTGTTTAGGGCTCTGGGTTGCTTAGTTCTTCATTTGTTGCATATTAGAGCCTCGGGTCGTTTGTGTTTACTTATTTAAGTCATTCAGGTCGTTATAGCTTGTTTTTATCACCTTTGTGTCGACACAACTCATTTAGCATACTTGGGTCATGCTCTAGGTAGTTTTATGTCGAGTTTATCATTAGGTCGCTTAGCACAATTTGGGTCAACTTCTGTACTTAGCACGCGTTTGGGTCAACTTTTGTACTTAGCACACATTTGGGTAGGCTTTAGTATTTAGAACACATTCGGGTCATCTTTAGCACTTACCAGTTAACACACATTCGGATCATCTTTAACACTTAGCACACATTCGAGTAAACTTTAGCACTTAACACATGGAGACCCGATAAGGTCAATTTCCACACAGCACATGAGAACCATTTATGTTGATCCACACAACATACGGAAAGCCCATTTGGTCGAGTTTCGGTCGTCTTACTGACCCAATTAGGCTGGCTAGATCGACCGGTGCATATCTAGCTATATTTGTATCTATATAAACAATAATACAGAAATAATTAGTATAAATTATCATAGATCATAAAAATCTTTTTGTGCACGATATTATCGGATAATTTTTTGAATTGTACTCTATAGAAAATATTTTTATTTTTCTCTGAATGATTCTTTTTAATTACTACGTATCACTTGTTATGACCAAAAACTTTTTTGTATCTCCAACTTATCCCAACACCCTTTAATACTCTTAAAGTTACGTTATGATATTATTTAATCAATTATAAACAGTCATCACCACAATTAAGTATCAAATCACATTTGATAAAATAAAATAATAATAGTATTGTTATCTATCTATCTATATATAAAAAGGTTGTTGGATAAATTTTTTTTGGAAACTTTTGATTAAATAAATAATACTTTTGACATTCTATTTATAGAAAGCTTGAAAACAATAATTGTGTAGTTTATTATTCACGGAAAAATCACAATTTGAATTCAAAATTAATAGTGTAGAGATAATATTGGAACAATAATCTTTGGATAACTCGAAAATCTAATCACTTAAGAGTAATCATATTTTGAATTCAACATAGCTTATTTATTCAAAACGTCCAAAATATGTCCACATCTTAACTAATTAGTTTATTATCTATATATATATATAATAAGAATTACCATTTACCAAAAATAGTAGCAAAAAAATAGGTCAGAATTTAATGCAGCTTATAAATAGTAAGTTTTATTAGTTTTCTTATTTTTTTCTTTAAAAATCATACAACATTAAATTCTACCTTAAGTTTCGAGTTTTAGTTCATTTTATTATTTAAAAAATTCCGCTAAGATTTATTAAGTGTGTATGTTTTTATTTTTATTTTTTTCTTAGAAATAACGAACAACATTAAAATCTCGGTCTCTATATTTATAAAATCTCAATTCAAAATATAACCAAACTATTAGAATCTCGGTCTTTATATTTGTGCCTTTAAAAAAATATATTGAACGCTAAAAATATTCTTAAATAGCATAATCAATCAATTAATCTTAATTTTTTTAAAGTTACTATGTTTATTTTTTATTAATATGCATAAAGTAAAAATAATTAATTCATCTTTAGATATATAATTTACAATCTTAATATAATATCATTTGGTGTAGACATTTATTATATGAATCATAAAATTTTTTTATTTCATAAAATTAAATATATTTAAAGAAAATAAGAAAATTTCTTCGGATCAATCGGGTGATTGAATTAGGGTACTGCCCAGGTTGATTGAATTACTTTTAGGTGATATTTAAGATAGTCAAAGAATTTGACACAACATGGTTGATCCCAGGTGACTAAGTTATGTATCAGTTCGACCACACCAAATCGATTATTGAACCTAAATATAAATTTTATATTGAAAATATTTTATTACGTGAATGTGATGTAGTCCAAACTTCAAATAATCGTATTAAGAATACTTTTATGACAACATGTTTAATGATTTATAAATACTTATATATCATTTTATTAATATTTATGTGAATTAAATAATATTTTATAATAATATTTATTAATGTACAATATAAAGTTTTTAGAACTGGACCATCATCCAAACGATCAAGCTATTTTATTAAATCATTTGTGGTTTGTTTAGATTTTAATTTATAAACATTTTAATAGATATATATATATAATACTTTTTGTAACAAATTTAAATAAAATGTGTTACTTAGATATCTAAACAATTTATAAATTCAAATGTTTAAACTAATTGATAAATAATTTATAAATCTCTATTTTATTTAAATATTTAATTTTATTTAAAATAATTTTAAATATAACAAAATTTATTTAGAAAATCGTATCGATCCTACCAGTCCAACCGACTGGTATTGACAGATTCGAGAGCAAATATTTTATTCGAGCGAACTAGACTGGTTATAAATCGGTTCTCGGTCCATTCAGTCAGACTGTGTCCAACTCGGTTTAATTTAAAAATAATGGATAAATTATTATTAATGTTATTTATATATTTAATTTACAATACAATCGTAATATTGTTTTTTCGTGCATCGCACGGGCCACGCACTAGTTAAAACGGAAAAGATATATTGATAGTCTTGTCCCCATGTAATCATGGGCTTCTGCCTCATACAAAATGGGCTTCACGTTGGCTATCTAGCCTTCGCAAAGAAGCCCACTTTTCAAGGAGAAGACAGTCCATTATGAGAATCCTATGTTACTGTTGCAGGTGCAGCTTGTGATATGATGGCCTATTGAGCAGACACACACACCCCTTGACAGCTATTGGTCCAATAATTTTCGAATATTATACAGTAGACAGGACAGCAAAACAAATAAAAAAGAAAATGAAAATGAAAATAGTTTCCTTAATATTTTTAATTTTTTTCTAAACATTAAACAATAGTACAGTACCAATGTATTATACGGGTGCTTGATATAAATATATACATTAATTTGAAAAGTAATAAAGAAAGGTACTTTTAAATTTTAATTTTTTTATGGAAAAAAAATATT